CAATTTTTATTTTTTATTAATATTATTGAAATCCATTCTTTCTCACCCTTAGGCACAGGGGCAGGGCTCTGAACCCCAGAAAGGTGCCCCGGAATTTTACCCTGGAGGGTTTCCGCAGGGCTTGAGAAAATGCGCAAAGGAGCGCACAAACACAGGTCCACCAAAGGCGGGGCTCACTTCCTGTACGTGACGAGAAGCAGCAGAATGGCGAGTTTAGAAACGTCTTGGAGACAGTATCACTTGCCAGGAGTGGGCAAGTCTCACGCCAGCCAGGATGAGGAGCATCTTCATCTGAGGCTGTTTCTGCGGTACCCAAGCTGCTGTGTCTTTAATTATGTGGGTTTGATCCTCTCCTGGGAACCTCTTTCTGAGGTTCAGAGAACTTCACTAGAAATGAAGAAAAATGAACAGACATGAGCTTTTCTTTTACCATCCTCATTCTATCCTACCGACCCCTCCCACTCTCCCTGCACCACATTTTAAAATGGCCCTTGCCCATTTGGGGGCTTTTTAAGTCACCAGGAAGGTAAATGGTCGGTAGATAAGTAGGTCGGGACAGGAGTCAGATCATCCTTGGGCTTCAAAATAGACTGTGCCAGCCAAATTTTCCTCTATGATAGCTTTCCTGCGGCCCCAGGCTGTAGGGATAGATTGTCCTAGCTGTCTGTGACCAAGGCCAGTTCTTCTGCTCAGAATTATGAGCCATTATTATAAGAGAATGGAAACCCTGGGTAGAGTAGTGAAGACAGATCTCTGGATCTGGAGATTCAGTGCTGAAATTTACCTAATGTAATTTAACATTCGTGTTCCAGTTCCCCTCTCTGTGAGATGGAAAGTTAGGAATGGGAAGGAAAGAAAACTAAAGAAGGGCCACTGAGGCAGGGGAACTGGAATCTAGCCTCTCTTAGGTGAGATTCTGCCCCATAGGGAAGGGTTTTTACCTGGTGTGTAAATTGTGAGTCAGGTTTTGGGGGTCTGAAACAGGAAAGCCACAACCTAAAAATGTTCCAGCTCTGAAGGGGGACAAAGGTCTGGAACTAAGCTCAGTGAAAGCAGGAGCACGGAGACGGCAACAAAGACTTTCAGCCTTGGTCACCAGTAGGTGTCAATGTGGGCCCTTACAGACTGGGCAGTAGGAGAGGGAACAGAGAGGCAGGCTGTCACTCCAAGGCTCAACATGAACAAAGATAAAAACGTGACAACCTTTATTTTCAATAGTGACAAGGTTCAAAGTGGAGTGCTTCCGAGTCTGTGTGGGTCAAGTCTCTTCTGAGAAAGGCCTTTCTTATTTTAGCCAACTACCAAGGAGAGTAACTCTAAGGGCCTTTCCCAAGGTAACTTTTCTGTCTCAAAGATTTTTTTCAAAGCAACTGCATACTCTAAGATGCAAAGAAGGATTCTCTAGATTTGTGAGGACAGTATAAAAAGTATCAGGTTCTGCACCCAGAAGCCTCAGGGGGCTATAACAGTGCTTATGAGATTGAACA